TGTGGTTTTCATTGAAAAACGTCTTGGCTTTAAAATCCACACCAAAAGCATGGCTGGAAATGTGTTTTTCTGTCCAAAGAAAAAGGTTTTATGACAAGAGCTTTATTAAAATAATTAGAAGCCAGTCTCCTTGGGATGATGTGGACAGTTGAAAGCAGAGGGTGGCCCCCCTGAGTTCTGCTGCCTGTTGGTCAGGTTGGTCAGAGCCGTGGAGGAAGCCTTGGAATGTCGGTCAGAAAGGACTGTGGGGCCAGTGCCTTCCAGCGTCCAGGGCAGGGCCCTGGGTCTGGCAAGAGTCACAGGACTCCTGGATTCCAAGACATTCTCTCCATCCCACCACTGACTAGACTGATTTCTCCCCTCCCAGCCCTGCGGCGGGAGTGCCAGACACCCGCTCCACGCCCACTCTGAGGCCAGCGCCGTGTTTCCTGTGTCGTACACCATGTTTGCGAAATTGCCGTGCTTTGTGGTGAGGTCTGGGTAGGTGAGAAGAAACCTCTCAGTCTGGGAATGGAATCGCGCATGCAAGAATGTTACGGCAGTTGTATGGACAGGACCAGAGCAGAGGTTTGGGCAACTCCAGCTGGTGGGCCTAGTCCTGCCGCCTGTGCTCTTGGTACGATGTTATCAGGACACAGCGACGCTCGCACGCCGATGCACTGTCTGTTGTGTCTTGGACACCACAAGGGCTGCGTCACGTGGTCCCGGCGGAGACCGTATGGCCCACCGACTGAGGTCAGGTGCCTCCTGTCTGACCCATGGCAGGAAGCTTGCTGCCCCCAGTCTAGATTCACACATTGTTTCTTCGGCCCCTAACGATGGCCCTTGGGGCACAGTTCCTATGTCCTCGGAAAGCACTTTCTACAGCTGCTGCAGAGGCAGTTCTAGGGGAAATTGTGTGGACTGGGTCTCTTCAGAAGAAAGAACAGAAGTAGACTGCTCAGAAGCCACCCAGGGTCTCCTGTGACTCCCATCTGAGTTCCAGGAGTGAGTTTCTTGGTGGGCAAGGTGCCTAGGTGTGGATTTGATGCGTGTTTGAGGGCAGAGTTTGTCAGCACTGACTTGAGCAGGCTGAAGCCACACAGTCCCGTGCATCACTCTTCTCCCATCTGAGCTCGGTCGTGGGACGCGGGGCACCAGGGTGAGGCACCTCGTGCCCCCGACATTGAGATGGGTCCTCCTGCTGCCTTAGTGTCCCTGACGGTACTCATGACCCCTGGCCCTCTAGAGAGTAACCCGTGGGATCTTCACCTGGTGTTTAAGCCCTTGGGGGTTGTGTCACCTCCACCATCAGAAATCAGAGGAACTTTTCAACAACATTCTGCTCTGCGGTCATCCCTGAAAAGGGGTCACATTGAATTTTCAGCATTTTTGTTTCTTCCGGTCAAAGTTGATACTTTCACTGACATTAGTGGGGGATTTCATTTTGTAATAAAAGCTGAATGAAAAAGTTTTAGGGCCAGCCCTGCTGCCCTCTGCCGTGAGGTTTCAGGAAGGTCCTTGGTGGTGGGAAGGGACCCTGGGCCCGGTGAGTGCATTTTTGGCTGCCCCCAGGGAGGGGCCTCTGAAAATCCATACAAAGGGAGGCGCCCATTGGGTGAGGCACTTGGCCCACAGACCTGTGCGGGGGAGGCCGTAGGGACACAGAAGTGTGCTTCGGTGCAGGACAGGCTGGGCTGAGCAGCTCCAGAAAGCAGGTGTTGGTGAACCCCTAAAAACATGGACCTTCTCCCACAAGGGCATGGTGAGGGGTCCCCCAGAGCTCACGGCACACATGGGAATCGTGCAAACTAGGCTTCGTGGTGAAAATACCAGGAGACTTGTAAAAATTCATAGAAAATGCGTATTTTGAAAAAAACTGTGCATAGGTTTCAAAATGTTTTTGCACCAAAATAAATTCGCACTAACTTGTTATATCTGGACAGGATCTAGTTTGAGGCACTAAGGATAAAACATCAGTTTGAAAAGAGCCCTTCTCATGAAAAGAGCAACTTGAAATCTGCTAAAATTGAAGCCAGAACAAACAGCAGGTTTACAGTGAAGCTTGGGTGGAAGAATGGTGAAATTATTGATACTTTATGAGAAGTTTATGGGGACAATGCCCCAAAGAAATCAGCGGTTTACAAATGGACGACTCATTTTAAGAAGGAATGCAACGGTGTGGAAGACGAAGCCCACAGCTGCAGACCATCCACATCAATTAGTGGGGAAAAAATTCATCCTGTTCGTGCTGTAATTGTAGAGGACCCACAGTTAACAGCAGGAGCAACAGTTGACACCATGGGTGTCTCAACCGGCTCAGCTTACACAGCTCCGCCTGGAAAATTGAAGTTGAGCAGCATTTCCACTCAGTGCGTGCCAAAACCATCGCATCCAGATCAGCTGCCGACAGGAGCAGAGCTTTCGGTGGAAATGTTCAACAAGTGGACTCAGAGTCCTGAGAGTCACAACAGGAGATGGAGCACGGCTTTCCTAGGACCATCCTGAAGACAAGGCACAACCACAGTACTGGCTACCGAGAGCCAAGAGGTGGCCTAGTCACAGTAGAAGCAGGCTGGTCAAGCAGGAGTAAAGGTCACTACAGCAGGTTTGGGGAATGCCCAGGGCATTGTGCCTGTTCTGGAGGACCAAAGAATGAGAACGTCTGCTTATTGTGAGAGTGTTTTGAGAAAGTTCCTCAGCACTTCCGCAGAAAATCGCTGGGAGAGCTTCCTCTGACAGGCCTTTTTTTTTTTTTTTTTTTTTTTCCTGAGGTGGAGTTTCGCTCTTATCACCCAGGCTGGAGTATAATGGCGTGATCTCAACTCACTGCAACCTCTGCCTCCTGGGTTCAAGCGATTCTCTCACCTCAGCCTCCTGAGTAGCTGGGATTATAGGCACACACCAGCACACCCGGCTAATTTTTGTATTTTTAGTAGAGATAGGGTTTCACCATGTTAGCCAAACTGGTCTCAAACTCCTGACCTCGGGTGATCCACCCATCTCAGCCTCCCAAAGTGCTGGGATTACTGGCGTGAGCCACCATGCCCAGCACCCCGCCCTCCCCTGCCACCAAGAGTCCTTCTCCGAAACAGTGCTTCTGCTCACTCCTCATTAAACTAAGAAACCTTTGCAAGAGCTTTGAAGAAAAACTGTTAGGCATCCATCTTCCAGTCCTGAATTGGCTCCTTCTGGCTTCTTCTTGTTTCCTAATCTTAGAAAAATCTGTAAAGGGCACTTATTTTTCTTCATTTAATGTAAACAAACAAACAAAAAGACTGCATTGACTTGGTTAAATTCCCAGATTCCCAGGACCCTCAGTCCTTTCGGGAGGAACTAAATGGCTGCTGTCACCATTACAAAAGTGTCTTGGACTTGATGGAGCTTAAGTTGAGAAATAAAGTTTATATTTTTTGTCTTTTAATTCAATTTTTCCACAAACTTTTTGAAGTCCCCTTTTTAAAGGCTCCACTTCTGTTCCACTGTCCTCACCTGCACAGGCCCCTTGCACCTGGACCATTGCAGGAAGACACCAGACCACCTTTCTCATGGGGTCCTTGCTGTCCCCCAGGAAAGGGAGGCCATATTTCTGCTCCCCTCGCCCACAGAGAGAGTGCAGGAGACTCTGAAAGTCAGCGGTGATTATTAACTCAGAATCGAAGGCGGCAGCCCAAATGAGATGTGAAACTGCTGAACTTCCCCAGTCACTGATAGCACACACATGCATTCATAGCACACACATGAATCCATAGCACACTCATGCACTCATAGCACACACATGTATTCATAGCACACGCATTGATTCATGGCCCACGCATGCATTCATAGCACACACATGAATCCATAGCACACACATGCACTCATAGCACACACATGTATTCATAGCACACACATTGATTCACTCATAGCACACACACATGTATTCATAGCACACACATTGATTCATGGCTCACGATGCATTCATATAATACCACATGCACTCATGGCACATGCATGGATTCATAGCACACGCATGGATTCATAGCACAAAAATGCACTCATAGCACACGCATGCATTCATGCCACACGCATGCATTCATGGCACACGTATGCACTCATAGCACACACATGCATTCATAGCACACACATGCATTCATAGCACACACATGGATTCATAGCAAATGCTGATAAGATCAGTAGACTATGGATTGATAAGTTCTTTTGTGTTAAGGAGTGCTTTTTCCCCTTTCCAAATAGAATATTTTCCTTATTTCCCTAATATAACTTAAAGAATTTCTCAGTGGTTCTGTCTTTTCCAGTGAGTTCTCTTACATTTGTCATCAGTTTTCCCTTTAAAGATTCTTAAGCGTCTTAATTGCGTTGTAATTCCCCTTACAGCTGTGTGTGTTGGTGTTCTAGGGTGACTAAGGAACACGTGGGCTCCCCTAGCAGGGCTGGCAAGGGCTCTCGGCCCTTTCGGCCACACACAGTCCCAGCACTGGGGGCAGTGGGTGACTGCACATGTCTTCAGTGGGAGCTGTGGAAAGTGCATTGTAGCAGCAAGGGCAGCCTGATGGGGCAAGTGGAGCTAATCCAGTCTCAGAAGAGAGGATGGGCAGGGAGGACCTGGCCTGGGAGGACGGGGCAGGGAGGACGAGGCAAGGCCAGGGAGGGGTGTTGGTGGGACAGGGAGCTGGCTTCACTCCCCCAGGTTAATGCAGCTTTTGCCATGGGGGTTACAGAAATATGCAGAAAACAGCATATCAAGAAACAGCAATACTCTCACTAAGCAAGTATAGTGGGGCTTGTTGGCTTGCATTGTGAAGATGTGTGTGAAATGAGCCTGGATCACACGCAGGTTGATTCCCTTCTAATTAAGCGTGGGTCGCCAGATTCCAGCCTGCTGTGTGGAGCCCTCAGGCCGCCAATGGCCGAGGGGGTGCGGGGCAGGCATGATCAGTGCCAGAGGGAACCTTGGGGTTTCGTGACTGTCCCGTCCTTCTCTCAGCTGACCCAGTAACGCCTTCTCCTGCCCTTTGCAGAACGGTGGTCATGCCGATCGCCAGCGAGTTTGCCCCGGACGTGGTGTTGGTGTCATCGGGCTTCGACGCTGTGGAGGGCCACCCCACACCTCTCGGGGGCTACAACCTCTCCGCCAGATGTAAGTGGTTCTGCGCATGACCGAGGAGCCGGCTCTGCTCATGTCCATGATCCGCGGTGTTCCATGTGTCAGGTCTCCTTTTCAATAACAAGATAAGGAAAGGCACCTTTTTACTAATGACCAAGGTCCTGACCATACTGGGAACCAGTCCATTTGGTAGGCCCCAAAGAACTCAGAGTGGGCAGCGGGAGCTCAGACCCAGGCACCTCAGGCATTCTTTGCCCAGGAGGGGCCTAGGGCACACAAGGCTCCCTCTCTGGGATGCGGGTGCCCAGGAACCTGCAGGCCACCTCCAGGGGCAGGTCCTGGTCCCACCGAGAGCTGAGATGCACCCTGTGCTGCTTCTCTGGCAGGCAGCGCTCCTTGGAAACGCAAAGGGAAGTTGCTGGGAGCACAGCCAAGTTCAGAGTTGGATGAGGAAGCCCAGGATGTGGGGGTCCTCTCGGGATCAGCGTTAGGGGGCGTGCTGTCAGGGTGGGAGGAGGGACTGCCCAGCAGTGCTCCCACTGTGCCTCAGTAACTCACAAGGAGATGAAAACCTCTTGGCATCAGCGCTCGGCACATACAAAGGCCTGGCCGCCTCTCCCACCCCGGAGTCCCCGAGGAACCTGGAGAACCTCCTGAGGCCCAGGGTTCCTGGGGCCTTGGTCCTAGCCCTGGTGACGCCCTCAAGGCCCCGGCGTCCATCGTGTGCGGCCTTCCCCACTCCTGTTGGCACAGGCGGCCAAGGAGGGGCCCATCTCTCAGGTCCTTGCATGGGGAGGGTGTGGCTCACCCAGGAGACCTGAGGCAGCCCTTGGTGGCCAGGCTTCTGTGGGGCCTTGCACAATCCACGTGTCCCCAGGCTGTGTGGCCTAGTGGCCAGCAAAGTGACCAGACGGAGGGCAAAGAGCTTCCACTGTGCCCAACGCCCCACAGCACCCGGCCCGGAGCGCCGCGGCCACCACATCCTCAGCTTCCTCCTCAGTCCGCACAGCTGCCTCGAAGCCCCTGTCACTGTTCCTATCAGACGGGATGAACCGAGGCTTTGGGAAGTTACAGCCTCGCCAGCCCATGATCGGGGCCACTAATCAGCGGCGCGTGGTTCCCGGCTCTCTAATCAGCACCAGCCTGGCCTGGCTGAGGGTGGTGATTACCCTCATCTAGCAGGCATTCCCTCCCGGGGTGAGTGATGTGGGTGCAGTGGCGGGACTGTGGCTCCTGATCAAAGCCAGACGCTCAGACCTGGACGTGGGAGAACCCTCCAGGAGGACATGCAGCCTGTGCACATGTGTACACATACATGTTCAGAACATATCAGATAACCAGAGCCCGCTGGGCTGTGGCCACAAGAGCATGGCCATAGCCCCTCTGAGGGGGCCAAAGGGCAGGTGGCCTGCGGCCTCTGGGTGGGGCTGGCTGCCCTCATCCCCTAGGGCAGATGATTTGCTGATTAAAAATCAAACCATTGAAGCCATAATTCCTATTCTCAAACAGATCAAAGAGGAAATCCAAAGCCGAAACTCCTCAGCAAATTTATTAAACCAAACCCGGCCCGGCCATGTGTCTCGCCACCCCAGCCCCCAGTCTTCTTACAATGCCGTGAGATGCGTTTCTGGGCTGCACTGGTCGCGGCCCTCCCCTGTTCACACCGCAGTCTCCCGTTTCCCGTTGCAGGCTTTGGGTACCTGACGAAGCAGCTGATGGGCCTGGCTGGTGGCCGGATTGTCCTGGCCCTTGAAGGAGGCCACGACCTGACCGCCATTTGCGACGCCTCCGAAGCATGCGTTTCTGCCTTGCTGGGAAATGAGGTACGAAGACCCCAGAGACCCCATGGTACACTCCACACTGACAGGCTTGGGGTGTGGCCTGGCTGCCCGAGAGCCCCAGAGTGTGAAAGCCAGTGGGTCTCTGACCACATGGATGCCACTGCTCTGCCTTGCACCTGCCCCCAACCCCCGCGTAGCTCTACCTGTGGCAGAACTGTGATGATGGCTGGAAGAGGTGGGTGGGGCAGGACTGGAAGGAGCCCTTTCGTCGTGAGAAGATGACTCAGGGTCCTCTGCGGTGCAGCTGCACCCTTCCAGTTCAGGGTCCCTCTGTCTATTACATGGAGCACATTGTGACCAGAGGTTTTCTGGTTCTCTCTTCATGTCCTCTGTGGACAGTCAGCTTCTCTAGGGAATCCTCATGTGGGTTTCGGTCAGTGGCCCCGAGGCGGGCTGGGGCTCTTCTGCCCAGCAGGCCTATCTGCTGCTCTGAGCCCCCAGGAACATGGCTCCCTGCTGTGTCCCTACCAACACCGGCGGAGGGAGTCAGAGACGCTGTGGTCTGTACAGCCGGGCCTCCGAGGCCTGGGCAGAGGAAAAGAACGTTCCAAGGGCTCGGGGTGAGAGCACCACCTGCAACGTTCCATTCCAGCGTGATGTTGGGGCCTGGGCCTCCCTGCTCCAGTGCAGGTCCTGAGAACAGCCACCCGAAGTGTGGGGGACTCGAGGGCCATGTGTCCACATCACTTGACCACAGGAAGTGGAGAGCAGGGCAGTGCTGAGGCTCCAGCACACCGGATGCAGAGGCCTTGCTGGGGGGCCTGGTGGGAGTCTGCCTCCCGTGCCCTCTGGGACTGCTGTCCCCAGCCCAGCAGTCCTGAGGACAGTCTCAGAAGAGTCGAGGTGACAGGGCACTTAGTGGGGGTGTCCTGGTGCTCAGTGGTTTTCACCCCCATCGGATGCTCAGCCCCCACTCTGGGGGGCTTCTCTGGAAGCAGCATCCTCATTTTCAGCTCAAGGAAAGGGTAGCACTCTGCCATCCAACCTCACCTGTCTTTATAAAAAATCTCCCGTCCCTTCTGTTTGGGGAACCAGTGGAGCAGCAGCCGCTCAGACACCCTCAGGTCAGTGCTGGCTTTTGCCTGCCCGTGGGTGCCCCAGACCGAGGTGCTGGTCCCAGGCCCTCTGTTCATCAGATGGGCGGTCACAGAGTCACAGGTGCCCTGCACCCTGGACTCTGGTGTCTGATGGCTCCTACTGACAGGTGCTCTGGCCTGGCATTATGCGGGGGGGCAGAGGGACGACAGGGACTGCAGCCGTCCCAGGACACTCTCTGCACAAGCCTCCCCCGATGGAAAGCCGGCCCTGCTCACTCCAGGACGATCCGGGTGCTGTGCAGCTAGGGGCAGCACCCAGAGGCACTCGAGGTCACAAGCGGTGGGGAAATGTCAGGCCTCACAGGGGGCCATGGACCCCTGTAGTTAAGCACAGCTCTCGCGGGGTCTGGTGTGCAGGCATCGTTCGCCTTGTTCTGGAAAATGCAGAGGCAGGGTCTGCTCTCTGGCCCACTGTCTGTGGGTGGCCTCAGCGTGTGCGCTGGGCCTCGAGGTGGCCAACAGACAGGGCACCTTGCAGAGGACGCCTCATGCATGTGGGCGTGGGTGTTGGCATTCTCGTTGTGTTAGAACAAAAAGGGGTCTTCTTCCCCAGTGGAAACCCCATTATGAGAGGAACCCCACTGGTCACAGCCAGTTCCCACCTCACAACCTCTGCCCTCTGTCCCTGGGAAGCAGGTTGCTTTCCAAATGATCGGTGGCTTGCTGCTAACTGGGGGCCGCTGTAGCAGAGGAAGCCACGCATTCCTGACCTGGGTCTGCTTGTGAGAGCAGGGTCTTATTGTGAGCAGTCAAGACCCCCACCTTCCTAGGGCCCCAGGCCGCCGCAGCACCAGAACCTTCCTCCCTCCCCTTCTGTCGAGGCCAATGTGAGGGGCAGCATCAGAGACAGTGGAGAGGGGACCTGGGGCTGCAAGTTCTACCTCCAGCCAGGGCCTCCCCAGTCAGGGGTCTCCCCCTGCATCAGAAGTGGGAGCAGCAGAGGACATCCTCCGGCCCCTCCCCCCGCCCCCAGCAGCCTGTGCCGGAAGCGGGAGCCGCACAGAGCATCCTCCGGACCCCTCCCGCCCCCCTCAGCAGCCTGTGCCGGAAGCGGGAGCCGCACAGACCATCCTCCGGACCCCTCCCCCCCCTCAGCAGGCCTGCTTCCTTGGCTTTCCCAGAAAGGCCAGTTTTGTAATCCTAAATATTGAAAGATTCGCTCTGAGACAAACCTGCTTTATTTTCCAGGAAAGGTCTCATTCAGACACAGGCCTAAAGGCCAAGCACACCAGAAATATCTCCAGGTGACAGAAACTGCCCGGCCCAGCAAGGGGACCTTTCCGGACTGGGGAAGCCAGGGTGGTGCACGTCAGCTGTGTGTTCCTCCAGCCCTTGCCTTAGGGGGTCCATCCGAGAGAGAGGGGCAGCTTCCTTAGAACCTGCAAGGCGCCGTCTCTCTGCAGTGACTCCTGATCTAAGGGCCATGGGTGAGGCCTGCAGATTGTTGGCGGGGCTCAGTGTCTTGCCCCAGTGACCATGTGAAGCCGCTGAGGGAGGGCCAGGACTGGCAGCGCTGAGCCTTGGCTCACCCAAAGGCTGCCACGGGGCCTGGACCCAGACTTGGGAAGCCAGGAAGCTGACGGTCAGGGAAGTGAGCACTGGCCAGCAGTCTCCCAGACAGGAGGGAGGTTCGGTGGCTTGAGGACGTAGAGGATGCCAAGGGCAGGGTGACCTTGGGGGTCAGTGAGAGCCCAGAGGTGCAGGCACCTCACGGGAGGACAGTTGGGGTCTCACAGAGGGCGTGGGGGAGGCTGGACTGGCCAAACCAAGAGCCCGAGGCAGAGGGGCCGGGCCAGAGGTGGTCTGTTGGGCCCCACTGGAACCCCTGGATCTTCTGAGGGGTGGGCACATATGTCCCCTTGCACAGCTCCACCAACAGCTGACAGTGCTGCCTTAAAGACTGCAGGACCACGGCCTGGCCTGGGAGGATGGGAACGGTGCCATGACCCACTACAGAGCGAGACCCCTGGGTGTGTGACCCCGGGCACAGCAGACCTGGCGTATGTGAGACCCCCTGGGTGCCAAACCCCAAGTACACAAGACTTAGCCAGGGGAGCAACAGCAGGCGATGGCCAAGGGCAGGGCCTTGAGGGGGAGGATCAGGACCTTGCATTGCCAAGGGGAACCCCATGGGATCTGCAGCCTAGGCCATCAGAGTGCCAGCCAGAGGGGTGCCGAGAGGGGACATGGGCAGTGGCCGCAGGTACCAGGACCTGCCCTTCCTTCTCCTGGCCGTCTTTGCTGGTCAGAGATGGTGTTCACGTTAACATAAATCACAAGTAGATCAAAGAACCAGGTGGCATCCCTGCAGCCGGCAAGCTGGCCAGCGACAGGCTGGATAAAATACCAGGCTGCTGTTTAAAACGTCCAAAGCACTTTACAGATGCTTTCTTCACATTAAACAGTCTTTTCCCCCTTTTTGCTCCAGTTAAAAGGCAACTGACGTATATATTCTACCATCCCGAAGCCTTATGGTTCTTCTGGCTAGTTATTTTAAATAACAATAGGGAACTTCGCTTTCAGCCACGGCCTGTTCTTGCTTCCTGATGAGAAAATGTTCTTTTACTTAAACACATCAGAAAGCAGGAAGCACTCATTTTATCAAGGTCTCTTTAAAAGTCTCTTTAATGCACAAGAGTTGGCCTGGGCCCCGCTCCTCTGCCTGGCGGCCTTTGATGAAGGTTGATATACAGTGTGCCTGGCAATCTGGCACACACAGGCGGGGCCGCCAGCTGTGACGGCAGTGGCCTGCAGGGACGCTGCTGCAGCAGAAGTGGCTGAGTTATAGGGTGTGCAGGACAGGAAGCGCAGAGGGGCCTCGGTGTCCCCGCTCCCTATCAGAGCGACCCCTCTGTCTTCAGCTCGCATGTCTGGAGGCCGGTGCTGCTCCCAGCAACCATTTTATTTAATGGTTTCCATGTTCAGTTTTCTGCAACCGCCAGTGACCGTGGACAGTGAAAAGTTCCCTACGAGTGTCGCATGTTGCAGCGTAGACGGGCCATGGAGTCGTGTGGGAGCAGCACCGAGTCGGGCCTCTAGCCAACTTCCATCAAAGACCCTGCACCAGACGGCCACGGGGATCTGTGGCCCAGGCCCGTGCCCCCGGGAGGTTGGGGAAGGACCACCTCTCCTGTCTGAGACTATGCCCCAGGCAGGTTTTTGCTTGGGCCAGTTTTCTACTTTAGTCATGGGGGCATTTCAGGGTTAAAATGCCACCATCTCATTTATCCCACTCCGGGATTCGTGGAGGACATTCGTGGAGCAGGAGGGGGTGTTGTGTGGAAAAGGTTTTCCCCCGGAGTTTAGCTCGTTAGTTATGCCCTGATGCTTTGTGAAAGGTGTGGACCTGAAGCAGCTCTAACAGAGTAACAAAAACCAAGTGTGTGTGAGGGACTGAGTTGGATCCACCTGAGAGCTGGCTGCCTGCTGCTTCCAGCCACTCTTCCTCATCACACTCACACCCCACATGGGCACCCTCTTGTACACACACCACACATATGCGGACACACACATACCACAGTCTTACACACGCACCCCACGCACATCCTCACACGCACACAAGCACCAGTCACACATGCACACACCACACGCACACCCTCTTGTGCACACACACACCACACATACGCACACCCACACAGGCACCACAGTCTCACATGTGCACACACCACACACGCACACCCTCTTGTGCACACACACACCACACATACGCACACACACACAGGCACCAGTCTCACATGTGCGCACACCACACATGCACACCCACACAAGCACCACAGTCACACATGCACACACGACATACCCTCTCGTGCACGCACACACCGCACACAGGCACCACACACACATCACATGCACCACACACGCATGCCCTCTTGTACATGCACAAAC